ATGACCTACAGAGCCTACGATTGTAGAGAAGGGAAGCAGCCTGCACTGACAGACCCCATCCTCGCATCCCGTCCTCCCTATGCAGAAGGGCTGTTTCCGATTCATAGCAGGAAGCAATCCAGCTGCCAGGGCCACCCTACAGAACAGATGCTGAGAAAGCCAAACCAAAGCAGACTCAAAGCTTTCAGCGTGCACACAAGCAACTCACACCAGCATAAGCCACGCATTACCGTACCCAGAACGAGCGGCTTCCCACTCAGGCAGTTTCACACCTTTCCGTTCCTCCAACAGCCAAATGGACTCCATTAAATCCAGCCCTTAACATACAAAATGACCGGGTGATTCCTGTCTCCGTTATCAGAAATGGAGCCACTTGGCACAATGGCAGTAAATGGGGATCCACGCAAAAACTAGAGCAACAAACAGGTACTCCAGGCAACCATCCTGCAGGAAGAGTTCGTAAATTAGCTGATATACAATAAACGCGCTACAGTTCAGTACCATATAAAATGCCAACCATGAGGAAACATTGCATACCGCTCATTCAAGAAGCTGCCTCTTTCTCAATGAAGCTTGGAAGCAAATTCTGCAAAGTTGCTCCTTTCCTATTTCAACAATGGTGTTGAAAACCTGCCATCAATGGGAACAGACATCACAGGCTGCGGTTTAGACCAAACACACTTTCCTGGGTTGTTACAACAGCTACACAAGTGCCAGCGCTCACCCCTATCCACGGCTGGCAGAGCCGGTCCAGCATCCAAAAGTTCACATGACAACCACACCCAGCATCCCATCACCCAAATACCACCTTCCCCCCCTCGCCCATCACCTCCCACAGCCCTCCCCAGCCCCAAAAGCCCTCTTCCCACCCCAAACACAGATGTACAGCCTACCTCCGTCACAAACCCTTGTCACCCAGCTTGCTGCCTTAGCATTTGGGTGACGCCGTTTGTACTCGTACGAGCACCAACTTACATATCCCATTAGGCAGGGAAACATTTGCTGCTGTCCCCCCAGACAGTCACACCGGTTTCAACGCACCCTGCGAGACCCCCAGTGTGCACACAGCAGCAAGGCCAGCCCTCCACACTCCAAAGGCCACATGAGAGTGAGCAGAATTGGTGCTTGCATGGGATAGGGATGCAAGAGGCAAATACAGGAGCACTGGGGTTTTCCCTGAGGGCACAACAGAGCCCCAGGCCGGTGCTGGGGACGTGCGCAAGGATCCCCCTTCCCAAGGGCTCCCAACAGGACAGGGGAGGAGGGCTGAGGATGCTCCCTGGGAGGGGAACACCCCAGCAGGCAGCACAGGGTAAGCCCCAGGGTGCTGAGCTGTGGGGCAGGGGGTGCATGAGGCGTGGGGTGGGGGGCACAGTGTGGGGAGGAGGGGCTCCCACAGCACCATAGGGGGGAACATGGAGCCGCTCCCCCTCAAATAACGGGCAGTGGGATGGAACAGGGTGGATCCCACACCACCGCAACAGACGGGGAACGGAGGGGGAGACAACCCTCCCTGCAACCAGGTCTGGGGGAGGGAACCCCACCTTGATGGGGGAGGGAGGGCTTCTGCACCAGCACGATAGCGACGGGGGGCTGCATAGAGAGGGAGGCCCCCAAAATGGGGGCTGGGGAAGGGGGAGGCCCCCTCACAACGGGCACCGAGGGAGAAGCGGGGGATCCTACAGCACGGCAGCGAGGACGGCGGCCCCGCAGAGAGGGAGGCCCCGGCTGCCCGACCAGAAACCGGGGAAGGGGGAGGCTCCCCCCAACCGG